GTATTTGAGACTTTAGTCTTTGCAACTTTACAGATCTTCTTTATGCACCGAGAGCTTGTAACACTTCAAAGATAAAGGAAAAATTGAAATCGCATCATATGACCCCTTTAAACAGAGAAAATCACCTTTAAAGTTGTCCAAATGAAGCTCTTAGCAATGCATATTACAATCAAAAATTAAGTTTTGATATATTTATGGTAGGAAATGTACAAAATATCTTCATGAACATGATCTTTACTTAAAACCCCTTAACTGTCACCGTCCCACCTGTGGGACGCTTGGCACTCTTTTTTTTGTTGTCCTTTTTCCCTATCAAATCTTTTAGTAATCATCATAAATCATATATCATTTGAAAGCTTAGAAACCCGAGATTCATCCTGTGAAAACCATTTTGAAATCAGACATTGCATTACCATGGAAATGGTACTTTAAAATCTTTTGGCGGTGTCCTCCCCCTTAGTGGGCGGTGTCAAGTGTCATATTACAAAATGCATTACGCTCTTTTACAATCAAAAGTTTTTATAATCTTGATAAAAAACTTATCATTGGAAAGGTCTGAGTCTCAGGATTATTTTGAGATAGACATAATATTGACAGAGAAATCTAGACATTTGTGACAGAAAAATGCATAAAAAAATTTATAATAAATAAAATCTCACAGGAACCTCTTTTTTTTTTTCATATCAACTTCAAATTTGGAACACAACTTATTTAGACATAAGGGTTTAATTTTATACCAATTTTAGAGTAAAACTTGTTATGCAAAATATATATTATATATAAAATAAAACAAAATTAATATAGTGCATTTTCTTTACAGTAAATTTAAACTACCATAACTTTTTGATACTTAATTTTTTTTTTTTTACTTTTGCGATAATCTGCTGCTGATAATCTGCTTAATCTGCTGCATGCCTATTTTAAAAAATGGGGGGTGACAGTTAAGAGGTTAATATCTTAATGATTTTTGGCATTAAAAAAAAATCGATAATTTTGACGCATACAACGCATTTTTGGCTATTGCGACAAATATACCCGTGCTACCTATGACTGGTTTTGTAGTCCAGGGTCACATATTTTCTTAGTAATACATGTTATTTACACTAAATGCAAATAGAAATGCAGTATTATTAGAGATATGCTATTTACAGTACATTAAGTGCAAATAATGATAGATTCTATTTATCCTAGGTAAAAATAGCAGCATTTTCTTTGCAATACGTGTAAATAGTAGATGCTGTTTATATTCACTGTAAAAATGGCAAATATTTACACCTCATTATTGTAGTACATTATAAAACAGTATGCAGTTATAATATGTTGAGTATAAATTATTATATTTCTTAAAATTACTAAATGGATGCTGCCCATAAATTGCAGCATTTATCCAGGCCATCAAGTCAAATGTTATTTGTGCATTCCTGAAAAATGAGGATCTGAGCTCTGAGGAAGGAAAGATATATACCTCATTGGGGACTCATAAATCATAAGGGTCGCATTACACTGTGAGAGCATGATTTGACTATGTAAATAAAAACCTGTTGATGGCTCTGGCAAAGTCAATCACAGTTGCTAAATAAATGTGCAGAAAATTAAAAGAAGACAATCAAATAAGTTATTACATTATAGCACACTGGAAAAGATTGAATTACAATTTCATTGGGAAAGTTTAAATGATCTTATCTTAACTTTTCCTTTAAATTAAGGTAATATGAGCTGAACTGACCAGTTTTATAATTAAAACACATAATGACATAATGTTTGTTCTTCTGGGCTCGTATTCACAAAACATTTTATCTCACCACTAAGAGTTCTCCTAAATAGCAGTAAAAGTTTTTAGCTAAGAGATTTCTCTCAAAACCTATTCACAAAGCTGCTGAGACAAACATTTACTAAGGAATAGAGAGAAGTCTTAAGCTAAGAGCAAGGGCGGGGTTGACCTTGTTGCTATGGATGATGTCAGCATGCTTACTAACTATGCACACAGTGATTGGCTGATAGGGGTCTCTGTTTTTGTCTCTGTATTTATTCATAGAAATATTGTAGAGTGCGATATTATGTTGACATATTCAAATAAAGGTTTAAAAATAAAAATGTTAATTGCCACATTCAAATAAAGATTTTAAAATGCAGACTAAGTGTCACTAACGTAAAAGAAAACCAAACTGGACGCAAGAACAGCTGTTACTTCTTGCCCAACTGGTTAATGAAAACAAGGATATAATCAAAAGAAAATCTAGAGTTGGGATTACCTCCAAAACCAAAGGTGACACCTTTTTAAAAGCACATTATCATCAAATGTTTCTAAAATGTTTACATTCCGAGGCAGATTGCCGGCAACAGCCACTTTAGGATAGTTTGTAGTTTGGTCTAAGTGACTTGGGAGTCCTCTTCACTACTCAACATTTCACAGATTTAGGAGCTAATTTTAGAGCTAAAACGATTTGTGAAACACTCTTAGAGCAAAAATTTAGGAATCCTAAATTTAGGACTGACACACCCATTATTTATACAAATTTTCTCCTAAATCGACGAGTTATGAGCTACTTTTAACCTTAAGATGTTTTGTAAATAGTTCTGCTCTTTTGCACTGTTAAGGCCTGTTCACACCAATGACGATAGCTATAAAGATAACGATAAAGATATAGTTCTAAAAATCATTCTCAATATTAAAGAATAGCAGAGTTCACACCACAGCTATAACAATAAAGGCACAGAGAAATTA